AATCCGGCTTCCTGTTAGTGGCCCTGGAAGGCAACAGATGATGATTGACATTGGTTCCTGTCACCCAAATGTAAGACCCAGATGGAGATCTTGACTTCTGGCTGGACTTCAAATGCTCAGGCATTTGAACCAGTGAACAGAAAACCTCTCTCTTTCCTTCTTTCTCTGTGTCTCCCCTTCTTTTCTTACATTCTCAGGGGTTTCCTGACCAGCATGCCCCCATGACCACTGAGAAGAGAGGTGGCGTTGGTGTTCCTCAGCATGAACCACCAGAGACAGTCTGATTGAAGATGTCCATTTATTATAAAGCAAGCACATATTTATATAGACTAAGAAAGAAGAAGGTAGAATGGCATCTAGTGACAGTCCTTGCACCCAGCAATGACATTGTAATTGACTAGAAGCCATGTCTATCTATCTGGACCCTCAAATCCTGTAGCAACATGCATGGCTGACAGGTATGCCACAGGTTAAGTTCATCATGTGTGGCTGTGGGTCAGCTGAAGGTCACACACACCATGTGTGGCTTACAGGCCATGTGGGACCACACTGATTTCTCAGAGGTGCTTACCAAGGAAGAGAAATTGGGGTGCAGTCTACTGTTCTTGCCTGTATGGCCAGTGATTAAGTCAGATAGAGGTCTCTGTGTGCCAAGACCATTGCTAGGGGGTTCCCCCAGGGACACAGTGTACTATGTACTGTGTCCCTATGACTTTCCACATAGGCCGAGCAGGTAGAAATCCAGGGGCAATCTCCCACACCATATTCTCTCTCTTTCTGTCATCTACCTTTCAAAATAAACTTTAAGAATATATAAACATTGTGGCAGTACCTAAAGCTATGTACTATGAAGCTGTTCCCTTGAAGATGCACAAAGGCATTGCTCTCTCCAATAGCACAGGTTCTGTAAGCTAATTCCCTCCATCTGGCTCAGGAATCTCTGACAGCTTCACTCTAAAATAAAGCATCGAGTTTTTGTCCTTCTAAGTGGGAGAGACTACAGACTCAAACTGATGGAAGCAATTGGAGGTGAAAGGCATTTGGAATCTTTCAAAAACATCAATTGTGAGTCAAGTCCTGTAAACTCCTACTGAGGCTCTAGCAACCTTTTCTTTGAAGTAACTCCTTATCTCTCCTTGGTATACAGTGACTTACATAATTGTTCTTTCCTGCCACATTTCCCAATTATCTTGCCTGGCTCTTTCCTGTTGAATTTTCACAATAGACCTGAACAGCTGTGTAGAAAATCACAAAACTACTGGCAGCATTTGTTCCATGCAATGAGTAAGTACAAGGCCTTTGGCTTTATTGAACATCAGAACAATTGGTCATTGCCTCGTTCCCTGTCCCAGAGAGACATGATTTAAATTTGACACAACTTTCTGCTGAATTAGTTGCTACAACTGTCTGCCTATTCTCCTCCAAGGCACACCAGACAGCTTGAAGACCACCAGAAAGACCAGAAAACTAGCTTAAAATAACCAAAGCCTAGGATTGCCTTGGAAAGTCAACTTTGAAATTTTACCAACAGGTGAGCAAAGTTGGGCAACCATAATGCAAAGCAGTCCCTGGCAGGCTATAAGAAGACAAATGAGATGAAGAAAGCACAAGGCAGTATAGCATCATTCATCCGAGTTGAAGTAGAGTGGGTGTGGTGATGTCATCAGTGTGGGGGAAGCACTGGAGTAAAAAAATGTATTAAATACAGAGGGATGATCCAGCAGGTAATTGTGAAGGTGAGTCAGGATTTTCTGTTAGAGAAAGGAGTTATAAATATTAAATGGGAAAAATAAGAATGAAGCCTGAGATTCTAGGTAGAAATTGAAAATATGGATGTGAACTCATGATTTTATGTGTTTAAATAATTCAATCTAGGAATGGGCATTTGGAACAGTGATTAAGAGCCACTTGGCATGCCTGCATCCCTTCTTAGTACAGCATGGTTCAAGCCCCAGCTCTGGCCTCCATGCACATCTGGCTCTCATACACATCCTGGGAACAGGACAGCATGATGACTCAGGTTAATGATACGGTTGGCTCCCTACAACACACGTGGGAGACCGTAACTGAGTTCCTGGTCTCATGGGCATTTGGGGAATGAAGCAGTGGATGGGAACTCTGTCTCTCTGGATTTCTCTCTCTCTCTTTCTCTCTCATCTCTTGCTTGCTCATTCTTGCTCTTGCTTTCTCGCCTCTGTTTCTGTCTTCCATCTAAACAAATAGTAAATGAATAAAAACAAACCTTGGAAAAATCAGTTAAATGTTGAAATAAGTATACATGTAAATATGCATGTACTTATGCAAATATATCCTTGCTCTGTTTTTTTTAGGATGTTCTGACAGCATCAATACTCCAAATAAACGAGCACACATGAAAAACACAACATGAAATCTAAATACCGTTCTTCACCAAAAGGATCCATGAATTGTTGACTCCTGGAACCAGTATCGGGACAGAAGAAGTATAAAACCTGAATCATCTTGTTATTGGGATGATTGGCATCTCTTAAATGGAGTCTGTTTCCTAATGTTGATGGTTATTTTGAGTTTATGTAAAAGAACCCTCTTTTTTTAATTTAAAAACACATACTAAATCAAATAGCAATGATATTGTCAGTTGGCAAATTACTTTCAAATGGGTCAAGAGCAAAAACTATTTGTAGCATATTTGCTATTTTTCTGTACATTTTAGGTTATTTCAAAAGAACAATAAAATCAGTAGAAATAATAGGGTATAGCAATTCCAGTCCTCAATACATGCTCCTGCTTTCTCCATTCTTATAATTGCCAAGGTAAAAAGGCAAATAATGTATGTACAAGAAAATTAGTTTTTAAATGAATAATTTATTATTTCTTATGGTGAGCATTAACAGAATTAAACTAGGTTTAGAAGTGACAACTTTTAGAATGAGATACAAAGGAGAGATATTAGTACAATCAAAACGAGAGAAAGAATTCATGATTGCTTTAAAAAACTCTCATTTTAATTTTGTTCCTATTGGGTCAATTGCTTAGATTCTCTGGAAAACAGAGAAAACAAAACAACAGTCTTTCCAAATGAGTATTTGTGGGGAAAGAATCAAGAGAGAACATTTGTCTGTACAAAGGAATTGTAATAGTTTGAACAGTCAGAACAGGAAAAACACTGCAAGGTTTTACTCAGAAGTTAGGGGCATCAGAAATGCCATGAGCCTTTGCCTTGTGGGTGGCTTGCTGTAATAAGTCATCACATTTTGGAAGCCCTGGGTTTGTTACGGAGTCAGAACACCCACCTAAACCGTTCTTTAACTCTATGTAGTCGCAGACTAAAAGTTTCTATTTTTATCTTTATCAATTCCTTTTAGATATATAAAATAGAATTGTAATAATATCTGCCCCTCTGTATTCGCTGAGATACCTGTGTCTTAGGAGGTGAAGGCAGCAGACCCGATTTACAGATCACCAAAGCCATTTACAACAACTAGACATCTGGACAGCAAAGCATGCTAAGAACTTGCCTGTGAAGCCCTTGGATGCATTGATTGTCTTTTATTAATACTTAGCCAGGAAAAGGGAAAATCTTCTTAAGCAACAGCACAAGAAGAGTTCACATGTTCATGGATTCCACAAGCCATTGTTATAAGGCAGAGACAGTTGACAAGGCACCCAAGCCTTCCCACCATGCACATCTAACATCCAAGGCTGCCTCAGATACTCATGTGGATGCCTGAATGTAAGCAGCCGGTACTTACAGGAAGGAATCAATCTTTGTCAAGTTATCAATTGATGGCACCATCAGTCTATTATCATGTATTTTTCTTGTCACCCAGCTGCTCTTCTTACTGAAGTTTTGCTGGATTTATTACCAAAAGTGCACTCTGCTTGATTATTTATGTTTAATTATGTGCATTATGTTTTAAAAAATGTAAAACTAACAATTTATAAACTTGCTGTGTTCAATTTTTAAGCAGATATGACAAAATGAATATGTCTATGAATATAAAGGAAGCAGAGAAAGAGATATTGTATGACAAAGTTAGATAATACTATATGAAGTATGACAATATTTTTTAAGTCTTTTCAATAATATATATTTTTATACGCACAGCAAAATATCTGGAAGGAAAGAGTACATTTACAATAGTGGTTGCTTCTAGACAAGTGTGATGACTGAAATTAGTCATAATGGTGAAAAATTTTCAGGCTCATCTTTAATCTTTTAATTTACTGTAAGAATAATTTATTAATGCATTAGCTGAGCAATATTTTTTTAAATGTCAAGTAATTATAATACCCAAGAATTTCAGGGATTTAAAAAAACTACAATACTTCAAAATACCTTTTGTGTCTACTGGAAATGTTACATGACACATCCTGCTTCTCAGCCACAGAAAAGTCTGAATAACTGAACTTCAATTTAATTCACAGTAGATATTGACAGTTTTTCATACATACGGAAAACATAGATAATTTATGAGTTCTTTCTATAGGCCCCAATTACTGAAAGCCAACTGGAAAGCCATTTGGAATTGGCATAAAAAAAAAAGAAAAGGACAAAAGTTAATTAAAATTGATTTGGTGGTGTGCTCATTCATATTAGCCCATAGCTCTTCACTAAAGACAGTCTTAACCACAGTTCTGGAAAGGACATTTACCAGGGAAGGAACTTCAGTTAGCACAGGAAGACTATTTCCAGAGACAGTGGCTCTTCTTGGCATTCAGCATGTGGGGCTCACGCTTGACAATATCTTTGTGGTTAAACAGGATGGTCACTTAGTAAGTGTTTGGACATCTTGCATATTTGTTAAATAATCTCAACATTATGATCTAAATATTCTAAAATAAATAATTTGGTAAGAAGAATTATTTATTCATTAGTCTTAGAGAATATTTGTTTCCTAGTTCAGATTCTACAAAACCTACTCAATTTCTGTGAAATCCCTTAGAGAAATGATAAACTCACTGCACAGCATATAAGACTTTAATCATCATAGAAATATAAAATATAATCTCAAATATATTCATATACACAGTCACATTCATATGACTGTGCACCCCACACAACATCAACAATGAAGGACCACGTGTGCGAAAGTGAGCAGGTTTTTAAGAGCTTTTTTCCACAAGTGCTAGAGAGAGAACCACAAAGATAGGTGTACAAGGAAGTTTCAAACTGGGTGAAATGATTTTTAAATCTCAAACAAAATTATTGTATTGACTCCAGCAAGAGAGAATATATGTAAATAAGTAGCATTAGGACTGCATTGCTCTTGATAATAAGAATAGTTTCAGAAGATGTGTGGAGACTGATGTCAGAAAAGTTGAGGTGAAATGATAATGAGATCAGAAAACAATACTGTGTAGTTTGTTTTCCCTTGAGTCATTTACAGAAAAACGACTATAGCTGAAGAAACATGTAGGACTGAGAGAGCATGCTTTATACAGTAAGATTTCATGTATGTATGAATTAAAGGAAGGAACACAGGGGGAGAGGGAAAAAATAGGAACATTACAGGAGAAAAGAAAGGATGGAATGCTAGCAGAAGTGTAGGTAGCCCCTCCTACAGGCAAAAGACACATTTTGAGTTACAAGGGAGAAGGCAGAAGTAAGGTTAGAGCTAAGCAGACTACTGGGTTTGGCAGTAAGAAGATGAAACTATTGGCCCATAATAGCATTTACTTATTTTTCAATAAATTATGTGTCATTTATTGGCAGTGGACTGTATTATAGTTTGGAAGACGAGACAGAAATGTACAATAGATTTCTGAAAGAGTAAGTGAAGTTATGGGAGAATTGAATGGAATATCAATACTAATTTGATATTTAAGAAGAGAAACAATCTTGTGGGACAGTCTCCAGCAATGTTCAGATACTCATCTTCATGTGTACAATTGTTAAGCTTAGCCAAGGTTGGAATTTTACCTAGATAATATGATGGTACGCAAGGAGGAAGCTAAAGGCATTGGCAAGGACAGTCATAGTGCTGGACACTGGTGTCAGAGCTGGCCTAGCAGAGGCACTGGCCATCCCACAAAATCTATGTTCACTTGTTATTCTGAAACACTACACCTGGAGCCACTAATCATCCCAGTTTTCTTCAGCAGACTGGTTTCCTTAATGGCATGGGATACAATGATGAAATAAGAAGATAGTGAGATCTTGTCACTCCCAGTTCAACCGCTTCCTGGTAGCTAGATTATTTTCTGATTCCTGTATCCTAGTTCAAAGCAACAGGGGATCCTCTGACCTAGCACTAAGCTATCACGATCTGGGAAAATTGGGGGATTTGGACTCAAAATTTCACATGGAAATGTTCAAGCCCATCTAGACAGACCTGAATCCTAAGGTAGGTACTGAAACTCTTACTTTGGATAAAATGGTGCCTGTCACTGGAGTAGAATATTCCAAATCCCTAACCTGCTGATTTGGTGAACATTTATATGCACCAAAGCTGGTGCCTTGCACCAGATACTCAATAAATACTTATTATTTATGATTTGTTAGTGTACCCAGAATACTTCCTCTTCTGTCAGCCTAGCTATCTACAGTGAATGCACGCACCTCGACCCCAAAGAGTATGAATCTAAGCCAAAACAGTTATTATTGTCATTGTTATTATCTTACTTGATTATTGTTATTTATCTCTTCTCTTGCCAGCACCTAAGAAGGAATTTATGTTAGCAGCTGTTACAATTCTATGCATACAAATAATTGTAATGCCAATTTATAAACATTAAATGCCAGATCAATGATAAGCAAGGACAATAATAATAGGCTTGGATTTATTTCTACACAAGAAAAACAGTTTAATTCTGTTCCAAATCTTAGGATGCACGAAACTGACAGAGTAATAAGTGAAATAAGATCACAGATTTCCTATGTTCTTCATAAATTCTTTCAGCTAATAGCTATAAATTAACTTACAATACAACACAGCATTTTATATTAACATCACAGGGGAGCTAATGCACATATTCAAGTTAATTGTCAGTTAGTACATTTTAGCTCCAGGAAAATCAGTGGATTTGGACAGATTTTTAAAGACAAAAGAGACCTTCAGTTTAGAGTTTGATCCTGTTTACAGATGAAGAATTTCACACTCAAAAATTGTATGACTTCAGCACATAAATGGTGGTGAATTTTAACAGCAAATAAAAGTTTAGGAAGCTATTTCCAAAGGATTGAGCTATTGAGAATCTGCTAGTAAGCTGGTGTGGCCAGGGCAGGGAGCATTACAACCGAGTGAAGACAACAGTTGGGAAGGAATGAAACAAACTCAGAGCAACTTGGAGTGTGGATGGTCCAGTAATTAGTAAGCTAAATGCAGGCTGATGAGAGACAGGTTGAATATCCCTTGTTTTCTTGGGCTGACTTGGCTCAACAAAGGAAGGAGACAGGATACAAACCTGACTCTGTATATCAACTCAGCAGTAGGTTCCTGGCTTCCAAACAGGTAGGAAAATTTATACTTTCTTAACTATGACAGCATTGGCTCTAAACAAAGTGTGCACCATTTGGGAGATTCATTAGCACACATGAAGAATGACGGAACATTCGTGCTTAGTATCCCAAATTAAACCTTACTAGTATTTTATTGATGAATTGACACTGGCAATAATGAGTTACATAGTTCTTTCCGACCAGATGGTAAATATTTAAAATATTGCATCACTTTGGTGATGACAAATTTGGTGATATATTGCCTTACAAAAATTCTTGCAAAAGTTACTTTGGAGAATTAGTGAGAGAAGCTAATTTTTAGGAGAATAAAATTAATGCATTGAAAAAAAAAACACATTCAGGGGTCTGCATCATGATATAGTGGGTTAAGTCACTCCCTATAGTGTCAGTCTGTCAGAGGGTAACATCTGAGTCATGGCTGTTCTACTTCCAATCTAGCTACCTGCTAATGCACCTGGGAAAGCAGCAGAGGATGGCTCAAGGGCTTGGGAGCTTGCACCCCTGTGAGAAACTTGAAACACGCTCCCATCTCCTGACTTGGTTCAACCCAACTCCAGCTTTTGTGACCATTTGGGGATTGAACTAATGATTGGAAAAGCTCTCTTTCTCTCTTTCTGCCTCTATCTAACTCTCTTATCTAACTCTTTCAAATATATTAAATAATTTTTTTAAAAGAAAAAATTAAAGCCTCAGAAAATTGATATTTGGAACTATTTCCATTGTTACCACATTTGCTACTAAACTAACCAGTGATGAATTTTAACACTTCTTTTCCTCTGCATACTTAAATTTGGACTACAAATTTTCTAACCTGTTAGAAACAGTCTTCCAAATGAAGCCTTTTATCAAGTTTCAAACTTATTTGTTTTAAATATTGTAATGCGACACTTAATCCCTTAATTAACATTCTTGAAGGAGCACATTTGCCAAGAGAATTTCAAGAGAGAAACATGGGCTCATCCACTTGCTATTGTTACATTTTATTTCATCTTAAGATTATTTATGATAGTGAATGTAGTGTAAATACTCTGTCTCTAAATGTCCTCAACAAGTAGAACTTGGCCCAGCCAAAGCTGGGAGGTAGGAACTCAACCCAGATCTCCACACAGGGGCAGAGATGCAAAAACCATGAGTCATCACTGCCTGCTTCCCAAGGTACACACTGGGTACATTAGCAGTAAGCTGGAATCAAGAGCAGAACTGTGATTTAAGCCCAGTCTCTCCAACAGAGGATACAGGGGTCCAGAGCCACCTCTAAACAACCAAATATATATTGTATTTTTTTTTCAGATATTTCTGGCCAACATTTGGTTGAATTCATAGATGTATGTGTATATTTTTTTACAACTAGAGGCTTGCAATTACAAAAGTTTGGAGACTTAAGTATTATACTAGTTTTCCTTCTCCATCCAATGCTGAATCTACTACATTTTTAAAAATCTATTGTTTCAAAAATATTTTACTTTGATGAAACACATATCATCAAATTTTCCTTTTTAGTCATTTTTAGCATACAATTTTGTGGACACTGTGGCATTTAGCACAAACCACTGTGTGCAATAACTGCATTTTAGAGTGCCTCTTTAGAGTTTACCAAGTACTCTGAGGTAAATCATTTCATTTTGATCTCATTACTATTGATGCGAAAGAGGAGCTGGGTATTATTTAACCCATTTTATGGAAGACAAGGAACACACTGAGAAAATTAAATACATCTAATTACCAGAACCAGAATTTAAACCCTTATCTCTCAATACTTCATGAAACATTTTTAATACATTTTCACCCAAATCAGGCATATCTGAAAGTCCAAAGTTTTCTTCTAAATTACTTGAGACTGCCATAGGTGTATCCAGCATGGAACCTAAATGGGTGTAACATCTATATCCAAAGTGCAAAACTACTTAAGGCTGCAAAAGTTAGCACAGTTACAAGACTAGAGAGACTTTTGCCTCACTACACCTCTGCCACTACCCAGTCCTCACTCCATCAGCTCTAGCAGCAGTGCGGTGAGGGAGGAGTCTTGGCATACTCTTAGCACGTGAAGGACTGAGGTTTTCCTGCTAGTCTTTCTGCCCTTGTGCACCAGCCTAGCCCCCTCACTCTGCTGTTTTTCCCTCCGAATCTGCTCTCAACTTCTTCCAGTCAAGCTTACAGGTCACTTCCTGAGATGGCCTCTGTCACCCAGTTGTCACACTAGTCATCTCAGCTCACAGTAGTGCAGCTTCCCAGCTATAAGCATAGGACTGGAGGATCTCAGGGCACACAGCTGGGCACCCAGCACTGCTCAGTGAGCTCCATGAGCAGAAGGTGGGGTAGGTTAATTTGTATTAACCAGTGGGGTTGAGCTTCTCACTCTTGTGATAACCAAAGTGATTCAGTCTTTTAAAACCAAACCTAGGATACTCTCAGAGCACAGTGGGAGGGGGAGGTAATGAGAGTAAAAGCTTATTTGGGTGTAACAGCTGCGGTACAGGTATTCAATTTCCACTCTCCGAGCTCAACTGAAACCCTTAAAATAGCCTCTGAACCTTCTCCCAAGCCTGAGGCAAGCAGAATTTTCCCCTGGAGTTACCAAAAGTCCAATTCTCTCCTTATTCTCCTCTATGTCTCAGCATGAAGCCTAGAGGGTCAGAGCTCTGTGGGCCAATGCCAATAGCTGCCAAGTGCTGTCACTCCAGCAGCTAATGATGAGGCCCTGGCACCAAGCATTCTGAGCATAAAACAAGGCTGATTCAGGTGCTGGGCTCAGTCACATAGAAGCTGCCATCTGGATCTGCTTCCCTTCAGGAGAAAATGCCAACCTCAGGAATTCAGTCAAAGGAAGGGGCCTCCAGGTGCACCTTGACTTACCCTCCCTGGACCAGCAACGGTACACCCTCAGAAACAACCCACCTGCCCTAGGGCCTTAGCTGGGCAAATGTTGACATTGTTGCATGACCCAAGTGACAATCTGCAAGCAACAGAAAATGCAAAGGGTCCTAGTGTGGGTTCAAGGTCAAGATCAAAGCTAGTGCATTTAAGGTGAATTGCAGAAAGCATATCTTTCTAACATGCCTACCAAAGGCTATGGGTTTGTTCTCCTCCCTGCTGAAGAAGTCTTCTATGCTTTGTCCAAAATTTAAAAATAAACAAAAAAAAATAACAGATAAACTCATGAGCAAAGGATAAGTATCAAACAAGATCAATCAGAGGAAAACATAACTGAATGAAGGCAATTTTCAAAGTAGAAAAATTTCCTTTCCACTAAGCCAGCCACAGAGAATTATTTATGTGTTGGCTTAAATCAATGCATTAATAAATAAGCTATCATTTTTGTAAAGAGAAAAAAAATAAGTTGCTTCCCCTGAACCTAAACGCCAAGATATCTTGGCTTTTAAACAAAAACTGAATTTTTGCCTCAATGACCTTGTTTTAGCCCTTAAATGATTAACAACCAGATAAATACAATCTTATTAATAACCCACCAAACTTGTATATTTCAGTTTCTAAAATCTGCTGAATATTATGCCCATTATACCTCTTTGAAGCCAAGAGATAATTATAGGAAAAAAAAGCTATAGAGTAGATAAATGTAGTTTACTACCCAAGGTCTGGGTCCCCCTTTAACACCAGGGCTGGGCACAGATTTTCCTCTTTCTAATCTTTGTCCTGTAGAAGCTTCACCACATTGTCACCAAAGGGGGAGTTGATTTTTCTCTGTCTCCTCAGTGTTCCCCATTCTCGGCTCCTTCTGTAATTCTGGCTGTGATCTTACAGCACTAACAGAACATAAACATGCAGGCCTCCTTCTTTTAATTTCCCTCTGTAGTACAGCAGTAAGTGAAAAGGACTTGTTTTTCCCAGATGCAGCTAGCTATCTAAACTCTGATGCTTTCATGTTAACAGTTGATGGATTAACGGTGGAGAACTGATCGAATTATTTTAAAATAGCCAGAATATGATAATTATCTATTTTATATAACAACAGCTACTATATTATGTTTGGCCTATAGGAAGGGAAAGTAATTAACGTACTCTGTAATATAGCTCTGGCAACTAACAGCTTGGAACCTTTCCATGATTTGTTTTTTATACTGACCACATATCTGCAAAGAAATAAGCTTTTCCAAATGCAGGGGCAGGATCCAGCCCAATTCTTCGATGTTACCACTGCACAGTCTCCCTCTGTCTACCTCTCTGCCTTTACTTAAGAGCTATACACAATAAAATCTTTCATTCACAAACAAGTCGTTGTATGTGTAGTCTATTGGACTATTCCCTGCAGTGCGGGCATCCCATATGGAGCTGAGTCAAGTCCCGGCTGCTCCACTTCCAGAACAGCTAGCTGCTAATGCACCTGGGAAAGAAAAAGAAGATGGCCCAAGTCTTTTGTCCCAGACACTCACATGAGAGACTGGACAGAGTTCCAGGCTTCTGGTTTTGGTCTGTCCCAGCCCTGCCAGTTCTGGCCATTTGGAGTGTAAACCGTTAGATATAAGATTTTTCTCTTTTTTTCTCTCTCCTCTCCTATGTTCCTCTCTCCCTCTCTCTCTGTAACTCTGCTTTTAGCATTAATAAATGTAAAAAAAATTAAGTCCTTTATCAAGTCCATTTCCCATCTCCCACTGGTGATCCAGGCACTTGCCAGGTGCTTATATAGTGAACTCTGAAAAGTATTCTGCTCCTTCATGTTCCCAGGGTGGAAACTTCAACATTTATTTAGAGATATCCTTTCTACTAGATAACAAAGAGAAACAGAAGGAATATAAAGACAACTAAACTTTATCTTCTAGCATTTCTACGCCATCAGATTGTCCTTCTTATGAACAGCACAATTGGAGGATAACTAAGCAAAGAACCCACAAGTACTAGAGATGGAGTCCTTATGCTAATGACATCAGTGAAACTCCCTTTTGGACAGCAGCTGTAGCTGGAACAACACACAGTACAGTGTGGTTGTGATGACCAGATCAGAGTAAAAGTTAACGCTCCTAGCACATGACCACAAGCCAGGACAATAATAAGAGGTTGCTTTCTATCAGTACAGATTCTATCCCTGTGATTTTTTTCTCTTGCCTAATTACTGAAATCCTGCCACTAATCTCTCCAGACCCAGCCATGGCTTCATTTTCTTTTGTCACCTAGACCACTCAGCCCTCATTGTTACCCCTGTCATCTGAACTCCCTAAATACTCCTAGGTTCTGACTGCTCCTCTAGTCCTCTCTGCATTACATGTTCTTGACATGTCATAATGGTGTATGTACATGCACTTTTTATTTATTTCATATGTAAATATTTCACGTGCCTATTTTATAATGCTAAATACAAAGAAAATAAGCATTGATAATTTCCCTCAATATAATAATCAGAAAAAACAGCTGTAATACAATTTGATAAATAATCTGAAGCAATGGCACAATTCTGTGGGGATCAAGTTTCTAGAAGTGTCTGATCTATATATGATAGACCCCAGTACTCCATCACTACACATTACCATAAGTGAGAAGCCATGAAACAAGGTCAACAACAGGTATGAGTTAGAACAGCCACAACAGCAACAACAACAAATTACAGTAGGCGTATAATGGAACATGCGTCCCTGCAACCAGACGAAAGATGGATTCCCAATGAAACTGTTGCACATGTGTAGACAATGCGATGCTGGACTGTCTGACATTGTCTGTACCAACAATGTTGGGGTACACTTAAATAAGAGACTGATAGAATTATGATTCCTTATGAAGGACTACACTATTGTAACAAAATGGGAAAAATCTGATGGGGGGGTGAGCGTTTGGGAGGGGAATTCCAGCCTATACAAAATTGTATCACATAATTCAAAATTGTAATTGCTAGAAGAAAATGAGGTGATGGTTAGAGAATGCATTAAAAACAAAACAAAACAAAACAACAACAACAACAAAAAAACCACAACAAAAAACCGAGAACACCAGCCAATGCAGTAAGTGCTGAATTTGACTAACGAAAAAAAAAAAAGTAAATGAAAATGATAAAAATCAAGAAGCTAGAGTTCTCAGGTCATCTCATGTGCAGGACTGATTGATGAGAGACCATGAGCCAGGACCTAAAGTCATCCTTGCACGAAGATAGCCCAGAAACCAAGTGACAGTGACAGGAAGAGGGTGCGTGAAAGGGAGCCAGAGTTCTGAGGGAAGAAGGACTAAAACTGGAAGCATGTCTGATGCGTTCAAAGAGAAACGGCTCACTGTGAAGAAATGGCAGTAGCACCAGAGGCTTCAGTTGAGAATGTTCCAGTCATAGTCTGTATGCACACATAGAAGATACAAGCTGGGAAGTCAGGTCTGCAGATGCCAGAAAGAGGTCTTTATGTCTACTTCTTCATGACTGCTATATGGTAATCTACATTTTTGTTTGGGATTTTGTTTTTGACCACCCTGTTATGTCTCTAATGTATATACAAGACTTAGGTCTTAGTTACTTTCTCATAATATACACATTTACTTTCTCTTTTCAACATTCTACACAGAAAATAGCCTAAGATATGAATAACAGATTCTTCTTTATCAACCTGAGTTTGACTTAACAAAAAGTTCTAGAAGGTCAAATCTTAGCAACTTTCATTTTGCTGTTTTTCTCCCATCATCACGTTATCCCTCTGATAAGACATTGCTAGGTAATCCCTCCTGATATCATCAGCCATTACTTGCCATTTCACTTTCCCTGAGATTCTCATTTTTCTTGAGCACATATCTTATTCTCTTCAACGGCATACAAGAAAGATTCTCCCAGTCTGATACTGTGTCAAGGATTTAACAGGCCAAAAGTTTGAGAATGCTTGTTTATATGCACACACACACACACACACACACACACACACACACACACACACACACCAAGCTTTGCCACTTACCAAAGCGTGTGAGCTCAGCCTTATTTCTTGACCTTCTGTTCTTTAAAATGAAGATAATAGCAGTATCTGTATCACAGGACTGCTATGGGAAGTAAAGACAAAAATGCATATTAAGATGCTATTTCAGAACCTGAGGGGTCATGAGAACTCAATAAACACTGGGTTCTGAGGGCTATCATATAAATGCTGATAAATAAAATCACGCATGTGTGCATACCTAAGAAGGATGAACTGCCCTAACTGCAGATATAAAAGGGAATGCCCTTTCTTTTCCTTCAAAACACCACTGAGAAGCATCTCAACCTGAAGCTTTTGAGCATCCTAATCATATGTGGTTTCCTAGCTCAGAACAGCCCATCAGTCTGTTGCCTGATTTCCCCTTCTTCCTCAAATTTCATTCAAAAGCTCTTCTGTATTTCTTCTTCAGCCCTTGGGATTTTTCTCTTTGATTTTTAGCCATTTGGAATGAGAAATAAAACGGTGTTTGAACTAATGGGATCCAAAAAAGCACTGTTTATTTAACAAATATTATTTAAAAGTTTCTTGCAAATGAACCATTTATTGCCTCCATCAAGACTGAAATTTAATTTCTCTTTTGGTATCATCCCTTGGTATACTTCGACAAAAATAGTTTCTAATTAGAGTATCCTCCTCACTCACGCACCTCGTGGCAATTAGAGAGGACATGAACGGATTCTGATTCGCAACAAACCCTGAGCTTTAGACCCCTTCCCATGTGATGAGGCCCTTGGAGAATTCACCTTGAAGAAATTTGCCAACCTGAAATCAAACTTTGAATTTATTCTTCTAGCTTTTGCTTGTGTAAAAACAGCATACTCCTGCCTGGCTGTTAGTTATATACAGTAAGATGCATATTTCCTTAAATTATAGGCAGCCTTAGATAAGATTAAAAAAATAAGATGCACAGATTGTTTATAATGCAATACTTAACTTAAATGGATAGATGTGAGATAAAATGAAATATTATTATTTCAGAAACACTTGAAATTCTTTTCATCCTAACCTTTCCCTAGACTTGATGCTAAAACAAATAGTATTATTTACCAAAAGCAGAACAAATCTTTTATAACTTCACACCATTTAAGATGCTTATCATCAATAAATCAAGAAATAACAAATGTTTGCGAGGATTTCAAGAGAAGGGAGCCAGCTAGAGTACACTGTAGTACACAGAAATGCAGATTGGTGCAGCCATCGCAGAAAATAGTACAGAGGTTCCTAAAGAAGGCAAAATAGACTTACCATATCATCTAGCAATCCCTCCTCTGAGTCTAAATCTAATAGATGAAATCATCCTCTAATAAAGATACCTGCACTCCAATAGTCCCTATGGTGTTATTCACAGTAGCCAAGACACTGTGAAAAACTAAGAGTCCACAAATGGACAAATAAAGACAACGTGATACACACACACACGAGAATACTACTTAGCCTTTCCAGCAGAGATCTTGCCATCTCTACAACTAAAATGGGTCCGAGGGATATGATAGTATGCAAATACTCCAGACATAGAATGAAAAATACAGCATAATTTTATGTATATGTGGAATTTTAAGGAAAAAGAAAGGTCAAATACACAGAGATAAAGTGTATAGTTCTGGTCAACTAAGGAGGCAGTAAGAAAAAGGGAGATGAGGGAAAAAGGTACAAAGTAGAAAATGTGTAGGATGAAAAATTTAGAAGCATAATGTATGCCATAAAGACTAGAAGTAACAAAATCACATCATGGTAGTGGGGTTATGATTAAATGAGTAGATCTTAACTACTCTTGTTACCAAAAAGATATAATTATGTGCCATGGTAGATTTCTAAATCTCTTTAATTATGACAAACATCTTACTCCAGATAAAAAATTCTATAAAATTATCTGTGTGGTAGAAAAAGAACTGTCACAGGCCAGAGTTTCTGATCCAGATAAAATGAAGGAAGGGAGAGTGGAGACAAGGCTCAATTCTTGGCCTCCTAGACACTTGCTTCATTGCCATCCAAATCAAGTTAGAAGGAATCTGATTATTCAAATTCAAAACCAAAATGAATTTCATTATCTCTGTTTTAGCATTTATAATGCAAAAGAGAGAAACCATGGCAGTGTATTTTCAAAACTTTTCCTTAACTTATTATTTGAAAGGCAGAGAGACAAATTTGCAGACCTGAGCTGTTCCTTCCCTCTGGGTGACTCACAGGATGCCCAAAGGGCTAGGAGATGAGGATGAGTCCAAGAGCAAAACCAACCCAGGTCTCTCACTTTGAGGAGAGGATCTCAATCACTCGAGCTATCGGCACATTTCCTGATACTTACTTCCTGATCTATAGTCAGGCATCAGCCCTGGGTATGAAATCCAGGGACTCTGCCATGGGACACAGTCTTCCTAAATTTCAGGCTAAAGACTCATTCTGAGTACATTCTACTTCAGAGCAGTTAATATCTGAGACTATTTCCATCAATACTGGTTTTCATGACCAATACAGTTTTTAAAGAAAATGTTACTGAAATTCAGGCTTTCCATTTACAAAGTAGAGGGAATCAGATGTCATTACATATTCTGAAATTAGTCACTTTCTATTTGTTCTTTATAAAATATGTTATAATAAGATCTACCCTGGCAACTTCGGTGAGTTTTAAAACCAAAGGATATAATGGATGTGAAATTATGAAGCGCAAATCACTAGTCAAATGAAAACTTCTCTTGACATTGTTAAATTAGTCACATACATTTTGATTCATTGTCTGAAGTAAACACCACTAACAAACGTCCCTTTATAATTTCCCAAAACAGATTCTACACATCATAGAAAAAACAATAACCTTTGTAATGAATAAGTGTATGATCTGGACTGAGCCCAGACTATTTGGCCTACAACCTGGGAGTTCAAACACAATGCCATACTGGACTACATGTGAGGAAGGGACGAAGTCCATGGTGTTATTACCAATATATCTTAGAATAATATAAGTGTAAGGAACCAGAATCAAAAAGCTCAAGGCATTATTTTTTTAGGGGGGGCTACTTTGAAATGAGCATAATTCTGTCAGAAACAAAGTGACAGAGACACATCCAGAGAGGGAGAGACACAGAGAGCAATGGCTGGAGCAGAGCCAGGCTAAAGCCAGGAGTTGGACACTCCATCTAGGTTGCCTGCCTGGGTGGCAGATACCCAACCATTTAAACACTCAGCACCTGCTGTCTCCCAGTGAACATACCAGTAGGAACCTGGAATTGGGAGGGGATCCTATGCTCAAACCCAGAAACTCTAAAATGAGATGCTAGACATCCTAAACTGTGGCTTAAGCAGCCAATCACCTACCTCTGGAAATAGCAATTATAATGAAGTCATTGTTTCTGAGACATTAGACAATCCAATAAGTTCCTACTTCTGTTATGTAGTAATTTTCCTTCTTTCCCTAAGAAAAGGGAAGACATACATACTAGATTATAGTTATTTCCTCGAATACACTGGCCTGTTTCTGAGTGGGTAGCATGCTAACAAGATGGCCAACAATGGCAGGGTCTGTACCACAGACATGTGAGGTCCAGGTAAAAGCATGATTCAATAAAGAACAATTAAAAGAAGGCCCATTTCATCTCACTCCCAAAGCTTATCACAAACTTGCTAAAAAGGACACTATGATCCCTGTTCTCCTTCCACACTGCTTGCACGTACAGTTTGTTCCAGTGCAAGTGGCATAAGATACTGAAATCCGACCTCTCCTCTAGTAACCACGTAGTTGTCTTCAGCCAGGACAAACTCAACACTCTTG